GAATTACTATTCCAACCTGTCTAATAATGCCAGAGACAATAAAGGAGTTTAACCATCCCTAAATCAATATGTAGAAGTGAATTAGATATATTCAAGACCTATGTGAGTAGGTTGCACAACAGTTTAGAGTGGAGTGGGTTTGACCGAGAAATTGCTGTGTTCACCGAGGACCTTTTTGTAGGGTGGTTTACACTTTGGAGATGTGCAGTTTTGGTTGGGATAAATGAATAAAACATTCTCTGATGACAGGATGGAGGAGGTTTTACTTTGGATAAGAGTTGGCTATCTATGCTAATAAATTTAGAGATATCCCCTTTAGTGTAACTCGTCTTGATTGGCTAGAGCTGTTGTAATTTTTCTTGTTAAGGAATTTGTTGCCGCTTTTGCAAGTTTGCTGGACTTCTCAATCTTTCTTTGTATCAGTTTTTCTCTTTTATAAAATTTGTTGTTCTCTAATCAAAAGAATCACAAAGTATACTACCAATCCATATAAAAATATAGTTTACAGATACTATAGCTTCCAATTTTGGATTAGAATTAGAAATAAAAGTAAAATACAAGGCAATAATAAAATATGAAACCATATTGTAGCTTACATCAAGCATGGTAAGCTTCATTAACAGAATTGAAATTCAATGTGAAAAGCCTTGCATAGAAGAAACAAAAATGACTAGATCAAGCTACATGAGTTACTAACACATGCCAAGAACAACTTCAACTAATATCTAACCTGATGAGATCCTCCACTTTCAAAGATATCTTGGCTTGGTTGAACCATGTTGCCAATCCAGCCAGTGCCTGGGCTGTATTTTTCAGTTTCAAAGAACTCATCAGTCTGAAGTTTATTGCTGTGAATTTGTAAACCTTCAGGGGTACTTTCATTATTTGTTGACATCGTCTCTTCCATGGAAATTTTTGATGCAAGGCACAAATCAAGTACAAAATCCGTACTGTTACGTACCGAAACAAGAGACCTAATATTGACAAATCGGTTGCCATCCTTCACATGTACTTCACTAGCAACAACATCATTCCCTAACCGCCAACAGGCAGCTGGTGCAGCATAGTTCAACCTCACAGTAGTCCACGGTCCTTCTTTGCTTGGACTGATCTGAATAAATCCAGATTTTCTGTTACTGTTATCTGATTGATCACTTATCTCAGCTTCAGATCTTGGTGACAAGAGCACAGCACATCTTATTCTACCACTCGACGTTTCACCGTTATTTCCCTGAATCACAGTTGACGTAAATATTATAAGGTTTAAAAATATACTTGGCAGCAAATGCCTGATAAATTTTTACCCTAGAAGGAGGCAACACTACATGTTTTGCCACAAAACAGATACAAGAAAAAAGGATATTGCTAAGATATGAGAAAGAACTCTACCGTAGAATTTGTTGAGGATAATTCAACCCAGGTCCATTTGTTCACACTATCATATGCGTATGAATCATCATGGATATTCCCTGCAATCTGCTTTAGAGGGGCTGAAAAGAATCCAAGAGGGACCCCTGTAAAATTAAACATGAAAAGTGAAATGCATCTTGTCCAAAATAGATAGTTTGATAAACAGAGGAGAAATAATGCATATTTTCCTTAAGTACTTAACTGAGAAGGCTATAGTTGAGATTTTCTACAGAGGCTTAACAGAGAGTATCTTTAAAACATAGATATTCCCTATGGCGTGCAGATTAACAATAAACTTAGCAGTTTATTCCCTATTGTGTATTAACTTTAAAAACAGCAGATTGAGTAAGGGGAAAAAAAAAAAGCAGTACCTTTCCCCAGCTCCGTGACAATTAATTCCACCGAGTAGTAATCCTGCACAAATTTGGATAGAATAGGTTGAGGTGGTCACCAAATGGTGACAGAGAATATGAAAATAGGATGTTAACACCAAGAAGAAGGCTACGTTATGCTATACGACTTCCAAACAAATGATATATAAAATAGGCAAAAGGATGTACGGTTGATACTGTGAAATAACCACAGCAAAAAAAAAAACCAAAAAAAACCAAAAACAAAAAAAGCAGAGGCCAAAACAAGCATCAACTCTTTTTAAGAAAACGAATCATTTATGACGTGCCAAATTCAGATGGTATAACTAGTAGGCACTATATTCATCAACAAGCAACATTAATATCTATCATTTGAAAAGTATGAAAGCTGAAATTTAACATGTGACTTGGGGTTAAAAAAAATTGACTAAGCTTGTCTTAGCAACCAAAGGGAATGAAATTGTTCTCAAATTATATTTTAGGTGAACAGATGTTACACAAATTTCATTGCACAAGAATTAAATTTATTTATAAAGTGCCCAAGGGGGTGTGAAGCCCTTCTCCTCCATATACAGCAAAACTGAACATGTTGAGTTGAAGAGTCATGATTTAACAAAATCAAATTTTGGTGATAAGAGATGTGAAAACAAATGTGCAAAGACCTCGCACATGCAAAAGCGGAGCAGTTATTTAATTGGGAAGAAATTGTTAAGAGAAAAACATTCTACATACTGGATCATCAACTTTAAAGAAAAAAATTTCATTCCACTTGACCAACTCAAGCTCTGAAGATAAATGTTCCGAGCTACTTCCACAAGTGCGTGCACTTTGTTGATGGCTCAGTGATTCACTAGGGAGACTCGGGTCAGGACTGAGGCGGATTGCTATGGTATACTGGGGGGATGTCAACCCTCTGCCCTGTGGGAACTGCAATTGCAGGTAGATGAGTAGTCAAGATAAGGGAAGCCATTTCACTATGTAACATATACACAAACACAATTCTGTGACTAGCTGAAATTCAGATACTCTTTGAATATAAGATATATGGAAGGAATTAAGCCTCCATAAGAAAAGAGGGTATACCTGCCCATCCACTATGATAAGAGTCACCATTCTTCTAACTTTACGGAAAAAATTTCCCTTCAAGTGAGAGTCCAACATATTCTTGGAAACAGGAACTTTTAGAGGTCTCATATCCCCAGATGGCATCTTAATTATGTTTGCGAGTCCCCTTAATTCAGTAGCTCGAATATAGATATCCTGACCAAGTTTGTTTTGTGGAATTATATAGTAGTTTCTCCTGTGATGGACGTCAATAACAGATACTCCACCATCTGTTGGGGAGGATGCTTCCTATACAATGTCATGTTAAAACAAAAGGAAAATGCAGAACTGTAAGCAATAATCGACAACTGCAGAAAGGAGAAAAAATGTTCAAGATAAATTTCATATAGTGATGGAACCAGAAGAAATTTACCCTTTTTCTATGATATTCATTAACATGAATAAGACTGTTCCAGCTTGCATAAGCTTGAATTATCATATTAGCATTAGACACAGAAACGTTCAAGTTCAGTTCCCTAGTAGAGGTAAGACGTAACTGGGAAGCTGCAGTTGGAGCACTGGGATCATATTGATACCTGTAAGTAACCATATATTAGGGAATAACTACACGTGATGCATATGTGAAAATTTGAATCAAACAAACAAACATAAATTAGGGAATAACTACACGTGATGCATATGTGAAAATTTGAATCAAACAAACACACACACACACACACACACACACACAAAGCTTCTCCCCCACCCCTTCACCCCAAAAGAACAGAAAAAAAAAAAGGAAAAAGAACAAGAAAAACACCACGAGTCACAAAAATTTTAATTTTTCTTATTGCTTCTCCCCTTTACACTATCCATTACATATCTTCCCATTTCAAATGCCTTCACCTAACATGCAAGAATGATACGAACACAAATGTCTTCATTTAACGTGCAAGAATAATACTTATTTTCCACTTATTTTTTGGTTTTCATGGAGCATGGTGGGGCTGCAACTAGACCTATCTGTTTCTCTCACTCTCCATCCATCTTCTAACTCTCAGGTGCCAAAGGGGCTCACACGTCTTGGCCAGTTCCCTAACAACTTAAGCTTTTGGAGCCGGTGGTTGTCTAACAAACCCAATTTGTCATCCATCAAATTAACATTGGTAAGTCACCCACTTTGACCTCATTTAACTAAATTCAAAATCCTACCAAGCTCAATAGTGAAATGAACACATATCAATAGCCTTCATTGATATATAAAAGGGTAAATTATTCAAATGGTCCTCAAATTTGTACCCGATTTACATTTTGGCCTTAAACTAAATTATTCATTCAAATGGTCCGCCAACTCTTTATTAATCGGCGCTTTGGTCCTACCGTTACATTCTGTCAATATTGCCATCAAATATAGGGGTAAAATGGTCCAGTTAAATAAAATAGTAGATAAATTAAAAACTTTATATAAAATAAAATAAAATAATAAAAAAACCTATTTCCCAACTCTCAGCCCCCAACCCCCAGCCCGATAACCCCATTGCCCACCAGCCCCCATCTTCTCTTCCCCAGAGTCCACCTATCTTCCCCTCTCTCCATGTGCAACCTTGAAAACAAGAGTAAAAAAATGGAGGGACAGAGAGAGAGAGTTTGAATTGAATGAATTTTCAGGCCTTCTTCGTCAGCAATCGCAGAATAAAGTTCAAGACTTATAGAGCTTGCTTTCTATTCTGGGGATGGAGGAAGATGAAAATCGCAAGGGGGGAGAGAGAGAAGAAAATCGTTGGGAGGGGATGGGTTTTGTGGGTCTGGGTTCGTGGGGGCTGGGGTTTTGGGTTGTGGGTTCGTAGGGTTGGAGGTCGTGGTCGCTCTCTACGATTTTCATGCTCTGTGTTCTTTGTTCTGCTAGGCTGCTCTGCTATTAGCTTTTCAACTTTGTCTGAAAGCTCAAAGAAAATAGCAAGGCCAAAGAATGAGAGAGGCATAAGTCCATATATACACACACAAAGCAAAAGTGTGCGGCCCTGGTATGAAATAGTCCAAAGTACAGAAATGATTCAATTGAAAACATTATTTTGTAAAGACAAATTTGGCCCCCACTGTGTATATTTCTAAGAGATTTTTTCCCCCCATGTCGGGTTCATAGTTGTTCGATTATTTGATTAGTCAAACCCATGGTG